AAGTGGGAACATTCTAAACAGTTTTACATGTGTGTGTGTGCATGTGTGTGTGTGAATGCATTTTTTTTTCCCAGCTCACCAATTCTAAGTTTTGGTCCTGATCTGACTGCACCATTTGTGGAACTGTAGAGGACCAAATAACTGGATACTTAAGAGGCTAAAAAGCTGCAAATTATTACGGCTGCTCTTTTCTAACTGCTGAACGCACTGAGAGGATACAAAGTTTAGTTAGGGAACAGTTTTCCCCTTGCTACCTTGAAAACTCAAAGGAAACCCTGAAAGCCCAAATCCTAGTAAAATAAAATCGATTTAAAACAAGTCAATGCTTTGTGTTCCAAGATCTGTTGCTCTCTAAGCTTTCCCTGCTGAAGGTTTTCTATTAATTGAGCCCTCAGTCCAATAGTGGGCTCTCTGCCTCTGGCCTTCCCCTGGCTACCATGGCTGTGATGGTTAAAAGCTTCTCCGGTTTGTCACAGAGTTTAATACGCACCCCACATAATTATGCAGGATTCACTGTGCTATCAAACTGCAATTCAAATTAGTTCAGGATTAAAGGCACAGAACAGTACTGCTTCCTTAATTGCATTGTACTGTGCTGATCACATTCAAATACCCATTACTCATTCCCTCTGTGGAGCAATAAGTCAGGGGGATTAATATGCAGGCAGGTGACAGGGCCAAGCCATTAAAAGGCAGTTATGCAGAAAGCATGGCTGGTTTTATTCACGTTAATGAAATCAGTGAAATGAAACTGTAATAGATTTATCAAAGCTCAGATGGATTTGCTGTAAATCAGTTTGATTCAAGCAATCAAACTGGACAATAGAGATAGTTTTCAGCTCTAGCAATGGGTGTCAGGAAGCAGCATGTGAAAAGTGCTGATATTCTTCACGTATGAATTTGATATCCACCCCATGCACAGGCCTATTCCCAAACCACTGCTGCTAAATTTTTTGTCTTTTGAACTAGGTGCCAGTGGCTGATAAAACATACAGCATATCATCTTAATACAGCACTTACACTGTTTTAATTCCTCGTTTTTAAGTCCCCCCGGAACATCAATTCTTTTCAACTGCTGGCTGAGAAAAAAGGAAAGTTTGATAGAGCACAAATCAGCATGGCTGCCCCGCTACTGCCCGGAAGAGGAATGCAACTTTGGCCGGGGTGACTCCATGCAACCTTCACGAATGTCTCCTGCACCAGCACTTGTACAGGAGGAAAAATGATCAGATCACAACTTCAGAGTGTGATGGGCTAGGGCAGGAGGAGCTCGAAGAAGCTGAAAATTTACTTTTGTTCTGGGTCTAATGAAATAATTTGGTATCCATTAGAGGGCAGCATTAGAACAAAAACTCAGCACAGCAAGGACGGTATCCCCTGCAGATAGGCAAGCACCTTGGCCGGGTGTAAACTTTTTCAATACAGTAATATTTTCCAAGGGTAAAGCCAATGAATGGAGAAGATGGGAGCAAATCCTAGTGTTAGAGAAAAGCAACGCCAGGAACAGCATGTGCCAATTTAGCTTTAGGGAGTTTTCTGTCCTACATTAACCCCCTCTCCCTTTTTGGGGTTAAAGTAGAAATACTTCTGTCTTGAGCTTAATGATCTCGTATTTTGCGGACCGTGTGTCTGATGGAATGGCAATGAATTGTGAAATAAGTGATCCCGTTTTTGTTTTCTTAAAAAGTGCATCATGTATTGTAGGTTATACTCAAACTACTCTAATTGGTCTAATTTTTATGTATTAGAAACAAATTGTTCAAGAACGAAAGCCAGTTTTTAATGATCCAAAACAGAAATAAATGTTCTAGTCTATTAGCTCCTATACGGAATAAATCAATATTAAAGCTAATTAACCCTTTTCAAAGGCATTTTTGTCCCAGGTTTTTATTTAATGGTTCAGTGCTGCTTAAAGCATGGATCAAGCTGGATAAGCTCCATTTAAAAAATGGCCCATTTTGAAAACAGTTTAGCAGCTCACTATGACGAATATATTTATCAGGATAAACTTGACTTTTTCAATTGTATAACTAACTGACCAGGGTTCCTTAAAAGATCTGATAATAAAATAGAGATGAAAAGCCACAGACAAACCTGTTCATTTGGCAGTGTTATAACATTATAGGAACTGCTTTCATTCACTGCTTTTTAAAAAATATTTATCTTTAGAAATATGTTAATTACTTTTGAGGATATTCCTAAGGGCAGGAGGAGGGAGTCTCCATATAAGATATTTCATTCCAGGTCATATGTGAAATGCAAACCTATGATTCTTCCTTTTTGGAAGAAGCCATGATTTTTTAATAGTGTTCAAACACACAGTGCAAAGCACACACCTTTCAGGATATAAATGACTACTTTGACATACGAAACCCAATGAAAATTATATACATTATTTAAAGAATTTGGCACTCTTCTCCTTTTGTTAGACTAGCAAATCACAGAATGTACTTTAATATCAAGCTATTTTTGAGTTATAAAACAGATGATATATTTTGTACGTGAATTAAATTCTTCACAGTACCAGAGGAATTAATTTGTGATGTTATGAAATTTTGATCAGCCTGCTGCAAAATCAGAATTGTCTACCACAAGTGTCTGCATTCTGACTCTTACAGTCTTTCCAAACAAATAATGAAATGAACTGGGGCCGAGGGTGTGGGGGTAGGGAGGGCAGAGTAATTTATGAAAACACGGTACACCATAATTTTGTCATTTTTCTGCAATAAGGATGGCAAATGATTCATGGGATAAAATGAAATCTTTCTCACTGTCATTTCAACGGATCTAAGATTTACAGCTTCTTAACTTGGATAGGAAAAACTCTGTATGCATAAAAATGAATTGTAAATCAATTAATGATGGGGATGAGAAACAACAAAAAAGAATTGATTTTAAGCAAAGAAGAGAAAATGTAACGAGCAACAAATTAAAAGGGAGAAGCAGCAGCTATTCTCTAAGACCTTTGAAGGAAGGAGGAAGTGGGGAGGAAACTGCTTGCTTAAAAGAGGGCGTTACGGTCAGGTTAAAGGAAAGTGACATGTTGATCGACTCATTACATTTACATCGCTTAGACAAACAGAGGAAGGTAGCTTTTAAATCAAAATCAGATATGCCTACATTAGATTTTTAAAAGAAATCAGCAAAAAGTTAGAGCCAGTTTTATAGTATGAGGTTGGATAAAGAAATCCTGTGACCATGAAGAAAAACCAGCCTCCAATTCAAGATTCTCCTTTACCTAAACTGTTTTTTAATAGGCACCAACGCCAAAAGAAAAGAAAAAAATACTTTTCCACTGCCCAACTCCTTGAAACACCACACCGAAGGAAAGCTAGCAGCCAGTGAAGGAGCAAGCCCGGGCTCTACAGGAGTCACTGTACCTGGAGAATGAGAGCAGATTCTGCTTCGGACACAACAAGGTGGGCTTGAAGGGCTCAGAAGCGGGTGGAACCAGTTGTACCACGTGCCATGCTCTACTATCCAAGTGACACTCAGTCCTCCCGTCTCTTCCACTGAAACATGATATATTATCTACGACTACAGGATGCGCACCTTAACCGACATAGTTGCAAGCAACCCCAGTGTGAATGTGGGGAACTAACAGGGAACCGATGGTATGGTTTGCTAAGCGATGCAATTCGATGCCGCATGTGGAGAATGAAGATAGCCCTGATCATTTCGCAAAAGTGGTATTTTGTTTAGATCAAATAAATTTTACTATTCTGGATCAAGCATTTAACAAACTGCCAAGGTATTTATTGATTTTTGACAAGGCCCCACGGCCTTCTTAGCACAGGACCTGCAGGACTATCTCTGGTGTCATCATGGCTCACATACCTCACGTTGTGTGCACGTATTTCACAAGTGTGGTAGCTAATTAGACACCTAAAATACAAAGTACAAGCACGGAAGGCTCATCAACTCCATCTCCTATACAGAAATACTCTTGTTATGAGGGTGACAGAACAATTTAAAACTTCTGTGGTCTGTTTCCTTCCCAAGTCAAATGTCATCAGGTGAAATCTGCCACCGATGATAACGCAGTGTTGACCAAGACTGCAAAATGTCGATATGAGTATCCATTTCTCTTTCTCTGATTACCATAAGTTCATTACCATAAATTTTAAAACTGGCAGCAATGTATTTTGACAAATTTTATGTTGACAAATTTTAAAGTGCTATAAAATTTGATAAGCTAAATCAATGAACAATGTTTTGAGCGGCTATATATTTTTTTCCAGGCATTGAACAAACAGTTCATTGTTCCAAGTCTGTCTGGGGGCCAGTTCTCTGGGTTATTCTATACAATTTCAAAGAAACTTCAGAAGCTCACACAGGCCTTTGAGCACGCAAAACCAAGAGGCAGCGCTTCTAAACCACAAATGGAGACGATGTTCCATATACATGTGTAAATTAAAACATATAAAATAACATAGGCATTATAAAATTTGTGTTAAAACTGGTAACAGCTTTACTGATTTACTGACAATGAAAATATATAGCATTTTTTCTGTCAGAGCATTTATCAACACTTGGCAACCCTACACTAACTTGACATGTAAGATGATCAAAATGGATTATGTAATCTTTCCCATTCATTTCTATTGATTTTACTTATGATAAAATTCATCAGTGTGCTTGCAAACGCTGAGGCTGAAAGGCTCTGCTTGACAAAAAAAAAAAAAAAGAGAGGAAAAAAAGAATTCAACAGAGTTGAATAGGATGAATGTAATTTTAGAATAGGATTGCACAGATACAGAAGTCGTGCCCTAAAGCCTCCAGCAACAAATTAATACAAATAAACCTGGCAGTCTCATAAAATTGCATTGGTCTATGCAGGGATTCACTTTTGAGATAAAATTACAAAATTGCAAGTGAAAATAATTAATGTGTGAGTGCAATTAAAAATACAGTTTGTGAAGATATTTTCAAACTTTTTAAACTTCAACAGTAATCAAAGTTATTTCTCTGACTGCAAGTAACATCAAAATGCCAGTAAATGGCCCATTTTAATCAGTTTTATTGATTCATGCTTTCAGTTCTTATTCAGTTAAAAACAAGGCACATTAAATACATCCTCTTATTGCTCTATAAATGCATGCAGCTCATTCTGTATATCAAGAGTAATAAATAATGGTGATAAAACACCAAGACAGTTATAAAAATGACAACCCAGCCTCAAACATAGTATTTAAGAGTCCAATCTAGAACAATAACCCAACACAATACATAAAAATTGCCATATATGAAAACATGCAGTGTGTATATCGACTCCAGTACTGGGTTTATACTTGATATTCTTTAAAAGCACAGTAGGGCTCTTTTACTCCCTAAAAAGGATTGACATAATGCAAAACAGTGCAAGTTATTAGCATCGTTGACTTCAATATTATTACATTCATATGCCAAAAATCTTTACAAATACATAAAAAAAGGAAATAAGATCAATGATCATTCTTACAGTATGTTTAGTAAAAGAATGAAATTTCTGTTGTACAAAGGAGTAAGCTACATATATTCTGAAAAAGACAAAACAAAGCTAGAAACTAAAGCAAAATAGGGAGCATGCATTTAGTAGTAGAAATCCTAAAGTTACACTCAGTAGAAATTGATTGAAAGCAAGAATGTTGCAGCAGCATGAAAGATATGAGGCAGACAACCTTGGCTTAACAAATAATCCAGCGGTATCACTATTGTTATGACTGCGGGAAGGGCTACTGAAAGGAGCATCCAGCTCTCCACCACAGATGGGGGTTCCTTCACCTGAATCCCCTTAATAAAGCCTCTTTAAATAAATCACTTGATAAAAGACAATCTCTACACACCTCACACCCACCCCAACAGAATCAGCTGATACCATGTTTATACAAAAAGAAAATAATTCTTTTGTGCTTGGAATAGATTTTGAATCACACTCACACCTCCCCCCCCCACCCCATTTCTTCTCTCCTTTTCTGAAATCAGGTAAAGAAGCTGTACAGGTTTAATTAAGAACTTACACAAAAATGCAGGGGTGCTTTATTCACAGTAAAGACTTGGAACCAGCTCGTTTCCAAGATGAGTCTCTGGGATCGGTGAAGGAGCGTATGTTTTAGAATTAGCAGATTTTAAGCAAAAGCAGATGTGCTCAAAAGAAGAAAAGTGCGTTTTTCTTTGTCCTTAAAGGAACTTCACTCATAAAAAAAAGCATGCAGAAACAAGGCCTCTTTTCAAATACAGCTCTGCCCAGGCCAGTCAGGTTATAAGCCTGGTCCCTACTGTAATGGATTCAGCGAGGATACAAGTCATCGTTGTCTTGATTTAACTAGAAAAGAAGAGAGAGAAAGAGAGAGAGCACAAATGTACAGTATTGTGGTACATCACCTCTGATGTTTTAAAGGACAGCTCTTCTATCTATTAAGGGTCACTGGGCTCTAAACAGTGAAGTTATTGTCTTGATAGAAAAACACTAAGTTACAAAGCCATGTGCTTCTATTATAAAAAAGAAAGAAAGAAAGAGAGAGAGAGAGAGAGAGAGAGAGAGAGAAAGGGAGGGAGGGAGGGAGGGAGGAAGGAAGGAAGAAACCAGTGTAAAAAAAAAATTCACACCTTAGAAGAAAAAACTTCACAGTGATACCTGGGAGGTCACTTTCTCTGTTTTAGGTTTTCCTTTAGGAAGTGGCAAGTCTAAACTTCATTTAAAAGCAAAATGACTTAAGGTGCTATCTTCACTGTTTATTTCAGAGGTAGGGGTAGGGGCTTAGGTGAGTGAACCTCCAGTGTGTATATTATGACAGACAGGCTCATACCCCACGTGAATGAGGCATAAAGATATTCTACAATGTTGACATATATAGAAATAATAGCACAAAAGTGTTTATGTACCAGTTTGAAAAATTAAGATCTCGAGTCTGCACAATGAAAACCTGACATTAAATAAAGGGTCACATTTCCTATTTCATACACAACGTGATCTTAAAAAAAAAAAAAAAGTAGGTAGTTAACTTCACAAGAGGAAGCACAATGAATAAACATTCAGATGACTGGCTAAAATGCCACCAAACTATTATAAAAGCATACCAAATTGGCCCTTTAAATTCAGTATATTACATATTTACTAAATTCTGGGCAGATTGATTTTTTTTAACATTTTTATTGGACTAAAATTGCTTTACAATGGTGTGTTAGTTTCTGCTTTATAACAAAGTGAATCAGCTATACGTATACATATATCCCCATATCTCCTCCCTCTTGCGTCTCCCTCCCACCCTCCCTATCCCACCCCTCTAGGTGGTCACAAAGCACCGAGCTGATCTCCCTGTGCTATGTGGCTGCTTCCCACTAGCTATCTATTTTACATTTGGTAGTGTATAGAGAGTGGTATGGGCAGATTGATTTTTTTGTCTTGTTTTGTCTTTCTGTGAGTGTGTATGTGTATGATGGGGGAATGCGTGTGTGTGTGCTGAGTGTGGTTTTCTCTATTTCTTTTTGTTTGATTGAGAACTTTTCTGTTGAGTACAGAAGGAGAAAGGCTTTAAGCAATTAAAATGACCTTGAACACTGCAAGTTTGTGGCTTTTTATAAATAATTGTAACTAAAGTTAACTAAAGGCTATTCCTATCCTCTTTTACCATCCATTTACAAATACTCCCCCAAACGATGCAATAACCTGAGCAAAATAGGTCATGTCTGACAGTATCACGTGCTCCAAGATCTAGGATTTGGGGATTGAGAATTGTGCTATAATATGTGGATATATAAACACAGGTTTTTAATCCTTAAATTTATTACTACTGTAAAGATTTGAGAAATTTAGTCCCATGCCAATGTATCCAACTTGCCACTTAAATGCTGGTTTTAAAGTAAGAAAAGCAAGGATCTTCCTGGCAACTGTAATAGTCAAAGAAAAACCAGCAGTGACTGGGGAAAAAAAAATGAATTGCTGAGATGAAACTATCACTGTAACTCCCAGCAAATGTCAATGCTATCCTTATATCTTGTACCTGTGATTCTGGAAGCTTTCAGAGTTTCTCTGAGATTTGCTCCTATAACCAGATCTAAACTTTTTCTTCCTTCTCCAGTTTTGCCAGTCACGCTCTAGATATAAAGTCTGGATGAGGAAGGCAGACAAGCTGGAGGAAGAAGGGGCTGAGGGGTCTCCAGAAACACTATCGTTTTAATAGGTCCCACCCCACTCAATTTCTTTTAAGAACAAGTACTATCAACAAGCTTAATGTCCAGAGCTTTATGTAAATCATGAAATATTTCCAGCTTCTTTTTTCAATTTCTGCCAAAATATTCTGCCTCTAAAACTGACTTAGACTAAATGAATAAACAAACAAAAAGGGAGCATGTCCAGTCTAACAGGTCACAGAATAAATGCAAAACATTAAACCAGTGTGCATTGAAAATGAGAAAAAAAGATAAAATACACTTTTAAGAAGCTAGATTGAATGGCAAATACAAATAAAGGGTATACATTGACATCCTAAAGCTCTGGAATGTTTCCCAGTGTTAAAACAAGGCAGCTATCCATATCCACTATTTTAGAGCGGTGTAAGTCATCTCTGGTTTGATACATGATTATTTGTTGTTCCTATGTTTGTTGGCTGTGGATTTACCGCTCAGACTCACAGTCCTCCACAACTTCGGTCCACGGGGATGGGAACTCTTCTGTCGAGGTTCTCTTCTGCAGTTTTCATGAGTATAGCAAGCCGGCTTCCAGACACCCTTCCTTTTTGAACAGCACTCATCAGCTTAAAGAGAAAATGGGCAACAGATTCAGAAGGCCAGCCAGCTTCCTCCCTTCTCCATGGCATTTTAATGGTTACCTTTGCAGCAGGCAGGGGTAATTAAGTGCCCCCATCGAAAACCGCAGCAGGCACTACAGCTCACTTAAGAAGAGTACAGTTTTCAAACATTTCAAAAAGGGGGAAAGGGGCAGGTATTTTGCCACGGCTGCAAAAACTACACCTATCTGGCGAATCAGCCTGCCTTTAAATGCAAATCGAATGCATCACTTTTTGCCCCTTAATGTGCTCAGAGCATATATTTTTTGGAGCAACTCAAATATTGAATCTTTAATTCCATTTTTAAATCTGAAAAGGGAATCTCAGGGATTGAACAAAGACAAACCGTGACCTATATTTAACTACTCTTTTTTAGTGTTACTGTACTTGACAACTTCAAGTCCCCCAAATCCAAATTCCTTAAAGACTTTTTAAAGTAATTTACATTTAAGTCCTTGAAAATGGACCCAGAGATCCACCTTAAGAATTAAAAGCACTCCACAGCCCAGATTTTAGCTAATTCATTTTTATCCAGTGGATAAAATCAGAATTAGTCTTGAAATTACATGCAGTCAGCAGGCAAACGCCTTTAATCTGGAAGGCACTGTGCAATTATCAGCACGGGGAATTTTTTTTTTTTCCTATTCAAGTTGATGTGGTTTTTACTATTTTCTTGATCTCTTTCTTATCTATTTGTTTTTTTAAAGAACTGATTTAGTCATTCATCAGAAATATATATATATCTGTAAATCCTCAAAATATTTTTAGGGTTATAGTTTTTAGCCTAAAGAAATACATTTCTTAAAAAAGACTCTGAATAAGGGTCAGAGGCATCTGCCAAGGGGCTGGATCAGAATTTCATGACCTTATTAAAAGCTGTTTCACAAGCTATTGCTTATTAGAGATGGACTCCTACATGCAGAAGTGTCATTAGAGCCCAAACCTAAAAATAAAGTCATGTAACCATACAGTATCTATAGAGATCCTTCCATGAGGATTATTAAAAAAAAGTCTATATTCAAAATGGTGTTTAATGGGATAAACATGGGCTCTTAATCTTCAGAGAAGGAAAATATTTTATGAAAAGTAAAATAAAACCCTGAAAACATACTTTGCATCTGATGAATGGTGTAACAAAGAATGCTGACATCTACAGATGGAACGAACAATTGATTGTTTATCGTCTTGCCTCTGATTCCATAAAGACTTTCAAAGTTCATCAGCGCTAACAAAACTGAGAGAGCTGGAGTTTTTTTTCTTTATCCATAAACATTGTACGATGTACCAGCCTTTAAAAACTCAGTCTTCTTCAAACATTACATGTATCTTGAAACCATATTACGAGAAAAAAATAGTATTTGGGTGTGAATATATCTCATAAGAAATATTGTCAGCGTTTTTAAGTTGAAAATTACACTGTATATTTGTACTTAGTAGAAGCATGAATAGTCTCTTTCATTTAGAATTGGACAAGAAATACTCAATTATTAAAAAGACTCTACAAGAAAGCCTGCAGATGGTTTAAATTATTTTCTACGTGTTTAACTCTATTGCACTCAAGAAAATTTCTTAACACCCAAACCACATAGCATATCCATAAAAATATCCATAAAATTAGACTCATTGTTTCTAAGACCCCAGGTCCTTGAACCCTAAATGCTGTTGTTTATTTACAACGTATATGAAATGAAGCATTAACTAGTTATCTGAAGAAAAGTTTTCTAAAATCCTGAGACAGACAAAAAAAATTTTCTCACAGAAAAAAACAGACAAAAAATGTATGAAATGGTTTTTTATTCCCAAGCATACGTTTTAAACTAAATTTCAAATGTCCACTTAGTTAAACAGTAAGCTAAAGAACTAAACATTCTTTTTTGTAATGCTGGACACAACCTGTGAAAATTTTCTGCATTTAGATTCAACAATGCTCTTATCTGCAGCTCATCTCCAGAGAGACAATTACCATTTCCTTTGCCTTGATCTTGTTTGTTTAACTTGACACAGTGAAGAAAGGGCTGACATTGACCAAAATCCCCAGCATTAATTTATTTCATGTTCAGCATTCATCATTGCCATGGTGCAAGCAAGACCTGGCATTCATTTGAAATACCTGCCCAAGAAGCAGTACAGAAAAAACCTGGCTGCTTGGAGACCAACACATTCTTCATAAGAGCAGAGTCCTATGGACAGTTACAAATAATGTATGGGTTTGTTGAGCTTCTTTCTTTTAAGGAACTTTTAGGAATGATGTGTAGCATCCAGTATGAAGTTAAAGTAACAAAATTTACTTCCTTCCTGGTTACGATTAAACAACTGAGCCTTGAGTAAGTGGAAAATTAGAAATAGAAATGCTTGAATTACGTGGTCTTGACCCAGGAATATAGGTTTCCTTTCTTTTGCTTTTCAGGTTCATTCTAATGTAAGAATATAATCATCGCATGTTGGGTTCTCAAGTGAATATGATTCTCAAATGAATACAACTCTGATTTCTTTAAACTTCCTCGATTAAAAATATACTTTCCACATTAGAAGTAAAGAAGGGTCCGGTGGGGGTATCCCACGGCATACTCTTTATAAAGCACACTTCTGATTTAGTCCTTTAAGCCATAATTAACTTAGATTTAATCTAAATTGCCCAGCGCAACAGAATGTGTCTTATAAAAAGCAAGAGAACATGCACCACGTAAAGCCTTATCCTTAAGGGCAGACATATCAACCTTTGCTGGCTTCAAGCTTTCTTCTTTTTCAGAATGAGGTGACAACTGTGTGGACTTCAAAATCCATTCCTGAATATAAATTGATGACCAATAGATAAAAAGCAAATACACTTGTTTCCTTTCACCACAACTCACCTGCAAAAATTCATTGAGTTCAACCTGTCCATTTTTATTCAAATCTACTTCATTCAGAATTTCATGTAGTGTATTTTCATCCATTTGGACACTGATACTCTAAGTAAAAGGAAAGCACAAAATAATGAAGTTTCATTAGAAATTATGCGTATCACTTTATCAATGTTACCAGCCTTTCAAAAATTCAGAGAGAAATATTACTTATAGAAAGCACTAGATCAGAAAAAAATTATCTAGCATAATCTTTACATTCTTCTGCTATCAAAGATGTTGAACCAAAAAAAAAATTATTACCTCTAATACACGCTGAACATCAACAATGGTAATAAAGCCTTTCTGGTCTGCATCAAACTTATGAAATCTCTTCTTGTACCTGGAACACAACATTGAATAATGGAAAAATATACTTAGATAAGTGAAGACAAAAAAAGAGAGATACAGAAACTTATTAGAAGTACCTGTCAATGTCTGAAGGCAGTAGGCTAATTTCAGAGTGATCTGTTAACTGTTCTGATCGAGATTTATAGCCCATTTCATAATACAGAAACTTCCTGGCTGTTTCAAGTTCTTCCTAAAACACAGAGACACACAAAGTTCAAAGATTTATGGAAAGAATTATTGATTTTTTTCTTCCTTTTTTTTCCCACTTGGTTTTCTAAAATGAAAGCTCATCTTCATTTTTCTGGCCAGGTCAATTTTTTATTTCCTCCAGTTTTACTGAAGTATAATTTTATTCAATAAAATTCACCTATTTTGGGTATGCAGTTCGATGTATATCCCACCACGATCAAGATATAGAACATTTCTATCCCCCTAAAAAGCTTCCTTATTTCCCATTTGCAATTGGTTCCTGCCCCTGACCTCTAGCCCCAGGCCACTGATCTGATTTTGTCACCAGAGTTTTGCTTTTTCTTGAATTTCATATGAAAGTGTTCATATAGTTTGTAGTCTTCTGTGTTTGGCTACTTTCATATAGCATGACAATTCTGAGATTCATTCATGTTGCTGCATGTTTTAATATTCTATTTCTTTTTACTGCTGAATATTCTTCCACAGTATTGACTAGCAAATTCTATGGGTGATTTGGTGACAAAAGAGCAATTAAAAGTGAAGAAGGCATCCAGGACTTGAACAACGATTATAATGTGGCATGCGGTACCAAGACAGACATCATGACGTTAACTAATTCTAAAATTTTGTCACTAGGATGCTGGTAGTTGGGTGGAAGTTACAGAGTCAGGAGAAGAAACAAGCTATTCTATTGAATAGTTACTCTTCCTGTTTTCAATGATCTCGGCCACAACTGATACTACCTATTGCTGAGAACACTGTCTTCTTAGATTTCATCACACCAGTCTCCAAACTAAGAACTTCCAAAATGACTCTATTGTGCTGTATATTGTTCACAAATATCTCTTTCCTCTCATAAACACACACACACACACACACACTTCTCCCCCCATAAGTATACTTCTCAACCCCACTGATGTGAGTCTGGACATGTGATTTACTTTGGCCAATGGCACATGAATGGATATAATATATGCCACTTTTGAGCAAAAGCTTTATACAAAATTGCAGTTTTGCTTAGCCTCTCTTGCTCCTGTACCATAAGAAGGGCATGAATCAGAGAGATCTGAAGCCAGTCTGAAATATGAAGAAGAGCCACAGCAGCTAACATGCAGCCTTCAGGTAATATGAGTGAAAAGTTAAGTGCTTGCTATGGTAGACCAGTGAGCTTCTGAAATTGTTATACAGTATAACATAGACAATGCTTACGAACACAAGTCTTAAATTCCTCAGACTTCCCCTCAAAGAATCTGACTAAATCAATTTGTAGACCCAAATTCCGGCCTGCGGAATAGTGCCAGTGCAAAATGAAACAAGGAAAATAACACAATAGCACGTACTCTTGCAGGAAATGTGTTTATATTTCTTTGTTTATGTCAGTGACAAGTCCCTTTGCTCCTTTTTCTTTGGAAGATAATTTTTTTCCTGAGATTATTCCCTTCCTACTTTCCTTTCTCTTAGGAGACATATATATTTTAAAACATAAATATATATATATATTAGCTGAGAGAACTTTTTAGCATTTCTAACTTTTCATTTTGCTACGTAAGAACATTAGGAATTTTATGTTTATTACATTATATATTTATTTTATTATATATAACATAAAATATTTATTTTATTACACATATACATGATATATAAGGTATACATAAAACTAGCCTTTGAAGTCACCAAGGGCATTCTTCACTGGCAGATTACTCTCTTCACACAGGAAAATCCAATAGTTATAAATAAAACTATTCTTCTATTGCACCAATTTTGCCCAGTCATTTTCTATAAAACTGGTTCAACGTTCATCTCCTTGGAAGTGGCATCTCTGATACTTCCCTCCAAGAACAAGCTCTTCCTCGAGTCATGTCCCTTTATTACCTATGTAATTTATCCATACTCCATATTAAGCAAGGAATCATGGAATTTAAAGCTGAAAGGGTTTTTTTCCCTAGAAGTCACCCAAAGTACCTCCCTAACCCCACATTTCCTTTACAACGTTCCAAAAATAGAAGCATGAGGTCTCCATCTAAAGAAGAGCTCTAGCAATAGGGAGGTAACTCAATTCCACTGAAAGCAGCCCATAAAGGGAAGACTCAAACTGCTAAAAATATTTATGCTGAGATTAAACCAATCTCTGCAATTCTTAGAATTTGTTTGGGATTAGTGCAACTTTCTTACAGTAATTTTTGTTTGTTTGTTTGTTTTTAAGTTGGGAGGGGTTGTTTTCAATGAAATTCCATGGAAGGAAAGTGAGTTTATTTTTTTTAATTTTATTGAAGTATAGTTGATTTACAATGTTGCGTTAATTTCTTCTGTACAGCAAAGTGACTCTGTTACATATATATATATATATATATATATATATATATTTTTTGTAGAGTAGGATCCAAGCTTTATCTTCAAGATACAGTATGTGCATATATAAATATGTGGAAATGCAATGTAAGGACATGCAAAATGCTGGGGTAATACACAGTTTGTAATTTCTTATCTTTTTTAATATTTGAATTTTATTTTATTTTTTATACAGCAGGTTCTTATTAGTTATCTGTTTTATACATATTAGTGTATATATGTCAATCCCAATCTCCCAATTCATCCCACCACCACCCCCTTCCCTTACAGTAATGTTTTATAAAGTCTAAGTTTTTTTTTCCTGTATCACACCACAACAAATATCTAAGGACAGAGCTTTCCTCTTTAAGAATTTTCTTTAAGTCTAGAAGTACTCTCCTGCATGAGACATGATTTTAAATCCCGTTACCATGCTGAATAATCTCTCCCAAACCACAACTAGTCTGTCATATAATAAAATGATCAGAACACAACACAATACTCCAGCAGAGATCTGGCAAGTACCTAGAAAGAAGCACCTATCAGCTTCATCAATCTAGAGATATGACTTCTGTTGGGCAGCCTGAGACTGTAATTGCAGCTGGGGGCAGCCATGATCCACTGTTACCTGCTGTGCATTCACAGTTAACGAAAATCATATTTCTTTTTTGCATGTGCTACTGTTAAAGTCTTGTCAAATCTATCATGAATGGATGGAGTTGTTTTTCTACCTAATGTAAGGTTTGCCATTTATGTCTATTATATTATACCTAATGTAATCTCCCCCGTTGCTTCAAGTTGTCACCAAACATTCACTCTCCCTCCAGTTCCTTACAGGTACACCAAAGATGCATGCCATTAGTGTCGTAATCTAGGCACCTGAACCACAGTAGACTAGGTCAAGACCAAAGACAGAATCCTCATGACCTGCTGTCAAAGCCCTCTTCTGAGGATAGTGATCATTTGGTTGCAAATCCACCAATTTTAGATGATATCACATGCGGCTTCATAAAATGCTTCATGGAATCCGAATACATTATGTCGACAACATTTCCTCGATCTGACAAACTTGTTACTCTTTCTGAAAAGAAAATATGTCTGAAATGGTTTCTTACTACCTTCCAGGGATCACTACTTCTTGCTAAATGCTGATAAAACAAACTTAAAATGCCATAACCTGGAAAACTGCCCAAGACCAATGCCAAGACCACTAATTTATAGGTTACAAACTATATTTTCCCCCCTTCTCCCTTTTTGGAATGCGGTACTACATTTGCCTACCTTCTGTCTTCTGGTGCTCTTCCTATTTGCCATATTGCCATAATCTTTTAAAGCTCAACAGTAGTTAAATAAATCCCACCTGCAAATTCTCTGAGTACCCTGAAGTATAACATTTCTGGGTTGGCATACAAACTCATTTAGAGCAGCCTCCTATTTGAATGTCTATTTCCTCTTACCAATATTTATTTTGCTCTTCTCACAATGAAGATCATTCTCCTTGACAAAAAAGGAAAAAAAGAAAAACAAATTGGTATTAAACTATGAGTTGAAAGGTTCTCTCCCTTCTCCGGCGGTCAAGGATTTGGTGCTAGTCACCTTGAGCAAAGACCTAGGTTAGGCCTTACTTGCATTCTTTTCCATTTTTACCAGTTATTTTTGGTGTTTTTAGTATTTTTGCCAACACTCAGCCAATTCCTGACACTGTTCATACACATCCTTATTAGTCCTGGATACCCTTTCATTGTTGAGTACGTATCTTCCATCTGTTTGATATTTGGTGCTTATTAGCTTGCTTTGTCCATAGTCACTCCATTTTTCACTTGCTTCCCCTTTATTCTCCTTGCTGGAATCAATTTTGAAAAATTTCTTTTTGTGAGACACCCACAATCTACTCGAGTGGTCTTCTCTTTAAAGTCTCTCAATGAAATGCATGTTTTGTCTGAGGGTTATAAAGTCTACCTTACCAAATAATACGGCAGCATTTCCCAAAATACATCCTAAAGCGATACTAGTTTCCCTTTCTACCAGCCCTTCCAACAAGTGAGAGTTGGGTCTGTCTCCAAATAAATTGCCTTTTGGAAACTGACAATGCACATAAGCATTTTAAAGGCACCAAATTATCTTCATTAAAGAAAATGGTTTCATTTGTTTAACTCAGAATTTCCCAAACTCTTTTGACCATGTAGTCATCTTTTCACTGATGTTATATATTGATATTTATTTATAATTATGTATTAATTTATATAATTGTGTAAAACACAACCTGACAATGACACATTCTCTAAATGTCTTCACCAACTCCTCTGTCAGTCCCCAAGTCCCCTAGACAACACCTTCCACCCTAACCATTTCTTCCAAGTTGGCTGCCTTTGGTCTTGAGTAACAGTTCTCTAAATCCTTCTATAAATTTTGGGAAATATACACACATTTCCGAGGTATATATGTGTTGTAACCGCTCAATTAAATTTGAAGATCCCTGAAACTATGAGCTATTTATCATTCCCCTAAAATATTTGGTATAATGCTCAGTATACAAGTCACTCATTAAGTACTGACTGGTAAAAACAACCACAATTCATCTGCAGAGAGTTATTTATCACCTTGTTCCTCTTTCACTTTTGCAGGTTAAGTAATCCCAATGCTTTTAACCTTTTCTCAGAAGTCCAGCTTTCTAACCTTTAATTCTTTTTTCCCTCTCCTTTGTTCTCTCTAGACTGTCCACAGTTCTCATTAATACTCCTATGTCTCAGATACTGAGTAATAACCTTAGGTCTTTTATTTCTGTTATTTTGTTTGTTAAGGGGGATAGGAGAATATTTCTGAGTACATAAATCTGCTCATAAAATCTAAACTGAAGTTAAATCTAGTTTCCTCGGGAGGGCTGAACACAAGCAGTTTACAGAATTTTCTTCCTCCTTCTTACCTCCTACAGCCTGAATTCCTGGCACAAAGTACCTTCCTGCATATTCAGATCATTTCAACCATAATTTTTACAGGAACACATTATCACCAGTCCTTCTATATGGTAAAAATGATTGGCAGTAGCACAAGACTAAGTTTCATTCTTGTGTTGCCTCAGTATATAGCTTTATTTATTTATTTATTTCATTTTTTTTGAATTTTATTTTATTTATACAGCAGGTTCTTATTAGTTACCTACTTTATACATATTAGTGTATATATGTCAATCCCAGTCTCCCAATTCATGCCACCACCACCACTCCCCAGTATATAGCTTTAATTGGCCAAACCAAAACTCAAAACGGGAAGAGCTATAAACCAGTCCGGCCAATGCAGAGGCAACAGGGTGGGGTGGGAAAAGGGTATGTTGTGGGATCAGAAAACCTGGTTCCAATCCCAGTTCCACAATCTACTAGTTGTATGAACTCTCACGGGGACTTTCTCCCTAAGCCTGTTTCCTCAACTATAAAATGAGGGTAAAGGTTATGCCTGTCAGTGTTGTGATAGGATTAAGGAACTCTTTTCAAACAGTGATTTCTACCATCAGTACACTACATACATGGCATTAAAATTACTGGAGGAGAAAATTTTAAATGTAGGGCCATGGTTTCACCCCTGAAGACTCTGATAGTCAAGCCTTAAAATCTGCCTTTTTCCCTACCATTCCCAGGTGACAAATATGTAACCATCTTCAGGAATCTCCACCACATTGAAAACGCTTTAAGGACAAGACCTATGCCCGGTCCTTCCTTACACCTTCAGCATGTGACATACATGCTCAGTAATGTTCATTCACTCATTCAATACACATTATTTAGGGCCTTTTATATGCCAGGCACTGAGGGTACAGAAACAAAACAGATCACATCCCTTCCTTTGGGACGCTTACTTCCGGGCGGTGAGGCCGACAGTAAATAAACTAAATGCATGGTATGTCAAATGAGAATTGATGCTAAAGAGAAAAATGAAGGAGTAGAAGATGCCATTCGGATTGGGGGCTACTCTTTTATTCAGTCCAGTGAAGAGAGACCTCCCTGGAGTGGAGACCAGGAGGAAGTGAGGGAGTAGGCCATGAGGACATCTAGGGAAGAGCATTCCAGGGAGAGGGATCAGTAGGGCTTGAATAAAGAAAAGCAACTCAACCTGTGGGTTGGAGAGAGTGAATAAATGGGAAGAAAAATGAGGGGGATCAGAAAGGTGGTGGCCAGATTACAGCAGGCTCCTGTTATAATAATCCATGTAAGAGATGCTGATAGCCTGAATCAGGGTGACAGCAGTTAAGAAAGCGTTGAACTCAAGCCATTATTTGAAGACAAGTATGATAAGGTTTGCTGATGGGCTTAGATCAAGTATGAAAATAAGATTTAGGCCCAAGCAACCAAAGAGTGGAATAGGTATTTACGACATGGAGAGGTCAGTAACGGCAGTAGTTTGAGGAAGGCAGGAGGAGATCTGAGAGAGATGGTGCTGTGGACTGAGTTGTATCCTCCTAAATTCATATGTTGACAGCCTAACCTCCAATGTGATGGGATTCGGAGATGGGGCTTTGGGGAGGTAACTAGCTTTAGATAAACCTCATTGGGATTAGCACCCTCAGCAAGAGCTCTCTCTGGCTCTCTGTGTCCCCCAGAAGGCATCTGTTTCAAAGCCAGGAGCAAGGCTCTCGCCAGAACCCAGCCATCTCACCTGGCACTCTGATCTCAGATTTCCAGGCTCCAGAAATGTGAGAAATAAATGTCTGTTATTTAAGCCACCCAGCCTGTGGTATCCTGTTATAGCAGCTTGAATAGACTAAGACAGGTGGTGTTCAGGAAGGAGGGAGGAATCAACTGTGTCAAGGCCACTAACTGGTTGCGTAAAAGGATGACGAGAGCTGACAAGCACGTTGAGCAACATGAAGGTGCCTGGGGAGCGTGACCAGAGCCACTACAGCAAAGTGGCCACGAAAGAGCCTACACGGAATGGGTTCAAGAAAGACTTGGCGGGGGGGCAGGAACTAAACCAATGAACAGAGAGTATTTTCTGAATAAATACATGAAAATGCCTCTGCGCATCACAACAGTTTGGTTTAATTAAAAATCATGACGGTCTTCTGTTTATTACAAGAAGCCCAGGGCTGTATATGTGGGCATCTGAGTATCGCTGGCTTTCTTTTTTTAATTTGGATATAAATATAAAATTTCAAATGACACAAATCAATAAGCATTTGGTGGTCAGGCCATAAAACCACAATTACCTACCAAAGGCAACCTTGCAGGAGTGTGAATTTCACTGTAGAATACATTCTAAGAATGTTTTCAGTGAAAACCAGAAAAGGTTCTACCCCCAATTGTTATTATCTTACTTTTTCAGGAATTACGACCACAAATTTGAGAACATTTTTCTATAAGGGATTTTCCAAAAACAACCAGGAAGACTATTTGGTTATAAGGATATTTGTTACAAGAATTTGTTAAAACAAGATATTTGTTACAAGAATAGCTTTCCAGTTTTCTAAGGCCTAGCAATATTAAACACACACACACAAAAACTGGCAGGCAATCTAAAGTCACCATCAAAAGCTATGCTAGCCGGCCTTCCCTGGTGGCGCAGTGGTTGAGAGTCCGCCTGCCGATGCAGGGGACACGGGTTCGTGCCCCAGTTCGGGAGGATCCCACATGCCGCGGAGCGGCTGGGCCCGTGAGCCATGGCCGCTGAGCCTGTGCGTCCGGAGCCTGTGCTCCCCAATGGGAGAGGCCACAAGAGTGAGAGGCCCGCGTACCACAAAAAAAAAAAAAACAAAAAACTATGCCAGCCTCTACTAACAGATTAAGACATTGCATGCCTATAATGGAAACTGGTTTTAAAGACTTCTATACAATACCTCTTTTTTAGAATCACCCCAGCTCAGTTCTCTGGCCATCAGTTCAACAATCCTGGGTAGGGCCTCCTCTGCTGCCTGGACATTTAGAAAGGCCAGGCGAGTACGACGTGAAATCATATCCACTGCAGTGCAGGCATACTCCTTAATCCCATATCTCACCTGAGTTTGAATTAAAGTAAAATTATTAATTTAGGCCTTTTTTAAAAAGGGGGAATAAAGCTTCACTTAAAATTCATGCTTAGGAAAAGTGACCTTTTTCTTTACATATCTGGTTCTTTAGCAGGCATGATACATAGTGACATCATACAAGTTCCCCATCTGCCTGCCAAGAAGATTTGGAACTTGGGACAATTTGGATAAGAGCTATTAATGCCTTCTCCTTGAATAGAACCTGGTGCAAACATGTAAATTGCATCACTTTTCATTTACCATGCACAGTAATCACCTCGTTGTTCATACATGACATGGATGTTAATTTACATAGCTGAGTAGGGAGGAGATATGGGGATATACGTATGCATATAGCTGATTCACTTTGTTATACAGCAGAAACTAACACAACACTGTAAAGCAATTATAGTCCAATAAAGATATTTAAAAAAAAAAGTTATGGTCTCATCTCTTTTGGCTATCCAAAGTTTTCTGTCTCAGAGTAATAAGATGACAGAAATCTTGCCTTCAATCAACAACAAAATGCTTACTTGGACACCCATGTTTTTAAAGCGTGGTGAATTATAAATGAATATAAAGTGTCAAGTCAAGATACGGCATCAGGCAGTGCGTAAGTGGTACAAACTTGAGGAGCTACAAGTTCTCAAAAGGGGCAAACAACTGTGAATCGGTAAGATTTGAGATAGCTCCATGGAGGAGAAAGAAATCCATATTTTCTATTATTATTGTTGCCACTATCAATATCACTTCAGAGTAGAAATTAAAATTTTGTAAATGAAAGGAACTGTGCTGGGCAGACGTTTTACTCCAGGTTTTAGCTGATGTATGCACATTAAAACTTAGCTATATATTATTTCTAAAGAGGATGCAAAGTGAACAGATGAAAGGTATCCCCGGGCAGACAGGAAATTCCCATATGGCCATTCACGTACCTCTGCTTCAATGTATGGAAATTCTGACACAAGACGCACCCCAACAATGGGCCACCGCTTTCCCGTCACACTCGCCATTTTGGCCACCTCAAAAGCCTTGTCGCCATAGGTGGCAGCAAGATGCTGGGCCACCTAAGGAAACAAAACTGCATCAGGCAGGTCCTCTGAATATCAATAGCTTCTAGGTACAAAGCAAAACAATGTACATGCTTATCTTGTCAGTTTTTTTTTTTTGTTTTACAGCCTGTAACTAAAAATCCTAGGAGAGTGTTAGATTTTGATTCCGTGGGAGGAAAATACTTTGGCTCCAAATGCTTAGGCCAGCACTAATGCTACTACACATGTATTACTGTATCAGTGACTGGTGAAGCTTCAGCTTCATTCTGCTCCAGATATCACATCTGAAGAACAGCCTTCCTTATGCTCTAGACAGAAAGAATTTGGGAGGTCCTGTCTGCTAGGAACAAGCCAAACAAACTCCAGATTCTAAAACAGAAACCAAAACGTGCATTGCTTTTTAGGTGATTAAAGCACCTAAAAAGTGCTTTTTCCCATTAGTTCACTCCCACAATACACAGACAGAAACAAACCCAGCAACAGGAAACTCGAAATCATGGAGGCCACATGGCTGCCGATTCTGTTACTGGCAATAGTGAGATTAGGTCAAGAGTAAGATGATGTGGCAATGCATACCCACCTCACTTTCAAGTCCATAATCCTGGACAAGCCTGATGTAGAGTGTAGGGCTCCAATCTTTGCCCCCTTGAAGGAAAAGCCCAACTGTTCTACTTGGTCCTGCTTTCAAATTGTGGGTCTTGACTGCAGCATTTATGGTATCTTCTGCCATAGATCGATAGGTTGTCCACTTTCCACCTACAAATACATTGATAAATAATTCATTATGTTACCACCCCTTGTTTTTCTTATAATTAACCATTTATCAACTTATCAATAACAAAATTCACCAGTTGTTTTATAACAAATGTGGCAAAGCAACGCATAAGATTTTACTCAGAATCATAAAAAAAAAAAAAAAAAGTCCCTGTTCTTTAGCATTAAAAGGGATTCTGGTATGAGAATTTAACTCAAGCTGCTTTAGATATAAAGCACACCCAGACAACAAGGTAATATGCCATACCTGCTATAGTGATGAGGCCGCTCTCACTGATATCCACGACGTGATTTCGGGAGATGGACTGTGTATCTGCAGACTTGGGATCTGTAACAAGGGGGCGAATACCACTCCATGCTGCCAGGACATCCCCTCTTCTTACTGGGAAGGATCAATGCCAAGGGTTAAGAGGATTACTCAAAGACGTCTCAACAAAACTAAAATGATTAGAAAGCAGAAAAGAGTTCAGTAAAAGGAACACATGAATATGTACTTTTAAAGGGAGGGAATATCGTTAAATATAAGAACTAAATGAGTGGGTAAGTTACAAGAAAAACTCAAAGAATTGTTTTGTTACAAAGATAACCTGGACGAAAAAAGTAAAGAACTGGAAAATCACTGACATGGGTCCCAAAAAGGAAACAAAAGAAACAAATGTTAGCAACCCTCAGCTGGGACAATCTGCAGTAGTTACAGAGAACAACAACAAAGCAGAAACAAAATAAAAACAAACCAAAAGAGAGCCTCCCTGGTGACGCAGTAGTTGAGAGTCCGCCTGCCGATGCAGGGGACACGGGTTCGTGCCCCGGTCCGGGAAGATCCCACGTGCCGCGGTGCGGCTGGGCTCGTGAGCCATGGCCGCTGAGCCTGCGCGTCCGGAGCCTGTGCTCCGCAATGGGAGAGCCCGCGGCAGTGAGAGGCCCGCGTACCGCAAAAAAAAAAACCCCAAGAGACATGACTTGTTACATTTCCCCCCTAGAGTATATCTTGCTATCTCTTCTCAGGGAAGACAAAGATACTTATTAGCAGCAGAGGGCAGTCAGGATTTCAGATCCCACTCACCCCTTGGTCCTGTGTTCTTGTACAGCGAACCTCCTATACATTTAGACACAGCAGACTCTGAAAAGTACTTAAATATATATCTAGCGAAATCTTGTGTAAAGAGTCACAAAGACTCTTTGATGTGACTCGTATATTGGACTAGTCAAAAAAAAAAAAAAAAAAGAAAAGAGAAAAAAAAAGCACCTAAAAAGTACAGGGGAAAAATCCTAAAAACAAGTAATACTGCATGACAATCTCTCCATCTTGATCTCAAATGAAAAAAAGATTTCTGGTAAAGATAACTTCAACTAAGGTAATCTGACATATTTTAGCTTAGCTCCTTAAGGACCACACTCTAAACATGACTATAATCCGAAAGAAGAGGTACCCATACACCTCTATGGGAGTGTTTAATCAAACCCATATCCCAACACTGAATCTGAAACAAAGGGAGAGTAAACCTCATAAACTGGTGAGGAAAGCCTAAGGCTTGCAGTCCTGTTAACTGGTAACTCGATGTAGGGATTCCATCCCTAGATCTGCCCCTTTGAAGGGTGCATCCTCTTCAGTATGTTTAATTCTGATGGCCTCCATGGAATGGGGGTTAATTCTTGCTCCACACAATTCCACAAAAGTCTTGTAAAACCTCAACATAAATCATGCAATATTTTAATCTTTACAAAAAGCTTTACTAGGAAATTACCACTATTTTCCATTAGAGTTCAAATTGCCCTCAGAGTCAAAAATAAAACTTAGCCAACCACTTAGAACGTCATTGTGGTCACTGCAAAGTCTGCAGAGTGTGTTCTCTGAAATTCCTTAGGTAGCCACGCTGATCAGGAATTTGGTTTCAGTTCTTACAGCCTTCTGACTGATCTTAAAATTATTCTGTAGAAAACTAGACTTTCTAAATTTAAAGCACATGCAAATAATCTTTGTGGCAAATGCTTTACCTTTTCTGGTATAACAGGCAGAAAAATACATCTATGAAACTGTACTGTCTGAAACGAAAAGACCAAACTAAAACACTTGAGTTTTTCATTCATGGAGGAAAATTAAATAAAACATTATGTATACTGATACCATTTTTAATCCTTACTTTTGAAATTGATACTCAAAACAAGAAAAGAAAACACTAACAGGAAGAGTTCATAACATGTCAGGAACCTTAATTTATTTTGCTTGATATCTTAGCATTCAGCTTTTTAGCCTGAGAATTATATCAGATGAATGTTGGGATTATATTTATTTAAAAAGATTCATTTAAGGATAATCAAATTTTAAATCATATTTCAAGTATGAATCGGGCTTTATAGCCTGCAGCATTTTTATGTTATTAGACTAAAGTGTGGTTGGATCAGGTGATCTATCATCTATCAGTTTTCTCCCAACCTTGAGATTTAATGATTTTTATGGATTATTCAAAATGCCATTTGCTGCTGAAGAATAAAAGCACTTTTTACCTCTCTACCATCCAAATTAAGTAATGACCAGTCAGGGCTATGGGTATAACCTAGACCCACAAGGCACAGCATAGCTAAACACATGAAACATGAATTCTAACCTCTTATAGAAAAGACAGCAACAAACTAAACAGGTTTCTCTCTTTATTACTTATTCACACACAGTGGAAACCTTGTGCGCTGTTAAACTCTTATTCAAATTCTTTTTAGAAAGAGATTCAAAAGCAGTGGACAGATAGCATAGAGAACCTTCCAAAATTGCCAGGAACTGCTGCAGCCATATTGTAACCATGGGGGAAACAACCATAGCATGAAGCCTACCTGGGGGGTGGTGGAGTGAAGAGAAATAAGGGCCCTTCGCTAAAGACATTGCTCAATCACTAAATTAATCACCTCTTGAGGCTTCTTATATCTGGAGATCTTCTTTTACATGATAATACATTATTTATTTTATAATAACAAAAAACAAAAAATTCAATGACTAATAAATTGAGTGCTTCTCTAAATGTCTATGTAAATACCTCTAGCTTCTGTAAAGCAGCACTGTTCCATAGACTTTTCTGCAGTGATGGAAATGTTCTGTATCTAAACTGTCTGATTCACTAGCCACTAGCTGCATGAGGCTATTAAGCACTTGAAATGTGGTCCATGCAACTGAGAAACTGAATTTCAAATTTTATTTCATTTTAACTAAATTTAAATAGCCACAGGATATGCACATGTACAGGCTATAATATTGCATAAGGCAGTTCTAGAGTAAAACCACCAAGTGGTAGATCTCAGACTTGTCCTGGTTGATCATCAAGCTGGGTATTTCCCCCATGGCCACCTTGCCCATGTCTTCAATGGAGCATCCTTTCAGTGAAATTTGACTGTGAGAATATAATCTGCTGTAATAGTATGAGACACCCCACCTCAAAATACTTTATTGTCGTAACATGTTCCATATTTACCATTTCAAAGTATCCTCCTCTCCTACTAATCTCATCAATTCAAAGAAATGAAAATATTTGTACTAAATTAGGTACTCCTACCCTCAAGTTCTTACCCAGAAATCGGTTCTATCATTTAGGTTGTAGCCAAGAGTAGACAGTGAACATCACCTACTTTAACTCTCCATGGTATAACACGTGAAGAAAATAACTCAACTCAAGGATTTTATGCTTCAGAGCTCAAAGATTCATCTTGATTTTCCTGGTCCTCGTACCGTCAGGATAGCTAAACAAGACGGCATTACTGTTGCATCGTCCTCACCATGTTGAAAGTCTTTGGCAATATCAATTCTAGTATTTCTCAGTACCTCAAATACTGTATCAAGTAGGAGTCATGTATTGTGATCAATAAATATGAAATGGCATATTAAAACATTCTCTGAACTTTTTATATCAAACAAGAGCTGACATTACAAAATCAAAAGCAATAATATTTTGGCCTCTGAGTCAACATGCTAGACTTAAGGTTTCTAATGACTATATATTTAAACAATTGGATATCCTCTTTTAAAACAACTGAACACTTTAATAAAACAAGATGACAGGAAACAACACTACTATTAAAATTGAGAAAAATTCTCATTAAACACCACTTATGAGAGTGGCTCACCCAGTTGATTTTTTTTTTTGTTTAACATCTGTATTGGAGTATAATTGCTTTACAATGTTGTGTTAGTTTCTGCTGTATAACAAAGTGAATCAGCTATATGTATACATATATGTCCATATCCCCTCCCTCTTGTGTCTCCCTCCCACCCTCCCTATCCCACCCCTCTAGGGGGTCACAAAGCTCTGAGCTGATCTCCCTGTGCTATGCAGCTGCTTCCCACTAGCTATCTATTTTACATTTGGTAGTGTATATAAATCCATGCCACTCTGATTTTTAAGTGCCAACTGCCCAGATGTTAAAAATCCCATGAGTACTCCAGAATGTATAAAAGTACTTGTCGATATTTTCAGAAGGATAGTAAGGAAATAAAATAGTCCTTCTACCATCATGTTTAAGAATTATTTTTATTACTACCCTGATAAATAATTCACTCAGGTTTTAGTGTATAAAATATATAAAGAATAAAATATAAATAGTAAAGTTGAATAGACATTTTCCACAGCTGGTTGAAAAGACTAAGTGCTGTGTAATTGTTTCCAATGATAATTAATATTTTTATTCTTAAAAACTTGGCAAGACAAGTGTTGGTTTTAAGTTAATAGAAAATGGAGCCCACAGGAAGTAACAATTAGAAGCTAAATGTGCACTTTTGCTTCCCATCAGTTATTTAGCCATACATTTTGGGGTGCTCTTTCTCCTGTTTGCCACTTTCAAAAAATCAATGAAAAGCATGTGAAAATATCTACGTGAACACAGGGGAAACAGTGTCAGAAATCAATACCTTCTCTACCAGCATGTTTAACCTGCAGAAATGAAGTGTTAATCACAGAAATAAGATACCATATTACATTTATAAACTAATGAAACTAGAAAAAGCAAAGCGCGTGACACTATAATTAAACAGCTGGAAGACATCCAAGCCTGTGTAAGTTGATAACCCTGGTACAATCTCTGGCAGTGAAAAGGCAGGTCTGCAGTGAGTTGATATGGCCAGCTCCGTTGTTAATTGAATAACAGGCAATCTATAAACACTACTAATTGCATATGTGAAAACCTGTGTACAACTAGAGAAGCTGCTTAGAGAAGCACTCCAGAAAAACTACATGGATAAAGCAATCTGCAAATCTTCTGTCTTCCTCAATCCCTTTAAGCCACAGCTTAGTTTCGCCACTGCGTCCTTCTGATTAACCTCTACACAGCGGACTTAATGATACATTTTTCAAAAGATCATTTTTCTTCCTAACCCAATACACACTGCACAACTATCAATTACCCGTTTCAGAAGAGAACAAACAAGTAATCTAGAAAATTCAGCCTGTGAATGGAAAGCTTTCTAAATCGTAAAAGAAGACATGGTCTTATTCCCAACAGGCAAAATGCTTTTCAGAATTGTTCCGATGCATTTTGCAGAAGTGTGGCAGCCGCTGCGAACAGCATGGAGTGTTAAGATTTGACACTTTTTTTCTTCTCAAGAATATAGCCATTTGGGGAGGCTCAGAAACTGTTGTCAGAATTTTACTCATTCATCCACTTAATAAATCCTTTTAAAATGATTGTTTCAACCCTGGTGAATACAAACCATTTCAAAAGTATTTCCTCTAGGATCTACACAAATTTTTTATTTTTTAAATCTGTAGCGAAGACTGCTTGGCCCAAGGGATTGGTTATGAGGAATGAAACCTCCTCTACTTTAACATTCAAATCCAAATAAGGCCAGTCGAGAGCAAAGGTCACTATCATTTTGAAGGTGTCTGGCAGCTTCCATGAAATGAACTGAGAGGCTTAATCCACTCCCTAGTGGATATAATATCACATCACGCGACAAACCCGGGACTACCAATTGGAATACTGCATAATATTTAGAAGCACAAGTATTAGAGCTAGACTGACTTGCATTCAATATCATGGCTCCAACATGAATGAGCTATGGGAAGGAAACAAAGTCACTGGGCCTCAGTTTCTTCATCTACAAAATGGGAATTACAAAATAAAACTAACAAGGTTGTTACGAGGAATCAGAGATAAATAAGCAATATGCTTAGCAGAGTGTGTAGCATAAAAAGTGCTCAATAACAGTAGAGTTTTAAAAAATAAAGCATGCATAACCCACTGCAGACAAATGGAAAGATTAAAATATGTGTAGCAACAGCATGTAGTCAAAAAAACTGAATGGTGCCTGAGGCCGAGTTTCTCTTTCACATTTCATCAGTATAGGAGAGAGTATTGGGTTTCACTTAAATTCCTTGGAAAAAATACAAATTTGAATGTCTTTACTTTAGATATAGACATACTCTAGCTAACTAGCACTCTACCAAGACTGAGGGTAATTCCTCATATACTCTGAGGCCTTCAGTCCAGTAGAAATAAGAATGAAAAGAAACCATAAAGAATCATTGCTGATTCAAAGGATAAGTTGATAAGTAAGAAAGGTGTGATAGAGGGTGAGCACAGGGAAATAAATGAAGTACATGAAAGAGCTGTCACTTCTGCTTTTACCCTGGATATTTGCTACCTGGAGAATTTGTAATCTCAAGAGTCCCGAGAGCACCAGAGGAAAAGCCTGATTTACAGTGTTCACATATTAATTTCAATCCACTTTTACCAAAAATCAAAACTGACAAAAACTCTTTGTTAGTTTCACCAATTAACCTGACTACCAAAAGGTATGTTAACCGAAAAGACCTCTACAGACCGAGTAGGTCCCAGCAGGTATTACCAAGTCTCCTACCTATTAAAAAGCAGAATAAAAGTGATGGGTACAGGCTCAGTCTCTGTTCCAGTCCAAGGCTCATTTCACTGATGGAAATCCCCACCCACGATATGGACACAGCAGCCTTTTGGAACCTACACCTGTTCCCAGCACATCCCGTATAAGCAGTTAGATTTCTCGTTAGTGCATTTGAACTTTAAGAATTTGGAAACTGTCAACTATAGCTCTCTGCTCTTGAATTAATTTTATTTCTTGCTCTAACAATCTAAACTTCCTGTTCTTATGGCCCTATATAAACCCACTTTTAACAAATATCATACCCAGGTAAATGTGAAATGAAGCAAGATTCATTAACAATAATCAATACAAATCATACCCAGATGAAGCTCCTCCTACTTTGCAAAAGGTGGAAAAAAAAGCTGAAATTGAAATGCATTTTTGAGTACTTAAGTATGGATATTAAACAGGGCATGACTATTTCTTAAACAACTATGTTTGAGTGTTGCGTGTGTGTGTGAAAGAGTATAAATTTAGCCACACAGATTTCAATTGCATGCATTTAATACATTTATACTATTATTATAGCTATCCAAAGAGAATCTACTCAAAATGAAATTACATCCATTATTTGAAATTAGAAGAAACTGAAACTATACAGTATGGATCAATCAATTAAACTAGGAGAATCCCCTAAATCATTTTTTAAAGCAGTTTGTTTGTTTGTAAATGTGTGATCACATAATGAAAAAAATTCTTTAGGGAAAAAGGACTCAGATGCTACTGAGTCACCTTAAGACAAAAATTGTGTCTTTGCATGTCCTCCATTGAAGCCAACATTATAGGAGATTCCTGATATAAACAGATGAAGACTATTTTCAAAAATCTTAAACTTTCTACCTTAATATAGAAAGATTTTCAAATTGCTACCAGCATCAAAAACGCTGAAAGCACCTATTACTAATTCATTTTGATTTAAAACAATCATGAGTGGCATACCAGATATATAACAAGCTTTGTAACTGAATAAAGAATCCTTACCTGTAAGGAGCTCCAAGTAAGAATATATCTTAGACTATTACCTATTGTATAATGCTGTGATATACTAGACCAGCATTCTAGGGGACTACGAAAGATATCTGGCTTCTGAAGTATAAATAGTATTTTGCCAAAATGAGAAGTTGGGGGAAAAGACATCCCAGAGCAAGACTTCAACCTAAGTAAACAAGGCATGAAGGTTTAAAAGTACATGACCTGATTTGGAAATAGTAAGAAATGTAATATGATTAAACTACTGAATGCACATAAGTGGAGTAGCTGAATATAAACCTGCAAAGACAAGTTGTGGAAAGCCTTAGGTTCCATATGAGATAGTTTAAAATTTTTCCTGAAGTTAATGATGAGTTATCAAAGGGATATTTTTGTGCAGGGAAGTGATGATCAGAACTGTGTTTTAGAGAGTTCTGGTGGAAGGACCAGACTGGGTGGGGACAGAGACCTAACATATGGAAGCAAGTTACGGGGGCCAATGCAACTCTAAGTGAAAAGTGACACAGGTGTGACCCAGAGTAATGAAAGTGAGAGGGGATTTACAGGATACTTCAGAGTGAGCATTCATGGGAGTTGAACTGGATGTGGAAAGAGAAGGATCAGCAAAGATAAGCATGCCATTTCTAGGCTGGGTGACTAGTCGGACGATGAGGCTATTAGATAGGAAATAATGTTGGGAAACTTCTGAAACTAGCACGGATAAAAAAAAAATACATTATACCATCTATGTCCACTGGAGAAAATGCTATGGCATCCAAGTTAAAAGAAGGTACTATGGGGCTTCCCTGGTGGCGCAGTGGTTGAGAGTCCGCCTGCCGATGCAGGGGACACGGGTTCGTGCCCTGGTCCGGGAAGATCACACATGCTGCGGAGCGGCTGGGCCCGTGAGCCATGGCCGCTGAGCCTGCGCGTCTGGAGCCTGTGCTCCGCAACGGGAGAGGCCACAGCAGTGAGAGGCCCGTGTACCGCAAAAAAAAAAAAAGAAGGTACTATGATATCCAGGTTAAAAGAAACCATGCTCAGGTTAGCACTGGAAAGAAGTAAACTTTGGCTTTTTCAATTAAAACAAGTATACTTATTCTTCTTAGCTAAATCCACTGTTAATACTCCAGTTTCCACATAATAACTAAATTTAGCTTACTAAATTTCTTAGAATACATAAACCTCTATCCTCTCATTTCTCTGATTAATTATTTCCATATGGATATCCTAGATCTGTAAATCAGATCTTCCCAAGCTCTAGAAATTAAATAGTGATGCAAACATTTCATACTCTTCTGGAAGAGCAAGGGTGTTTAGAGCTCCCGTAATAGCACTCCAATCTTGCCATTAGAAAGGACCAGAAAAGGACGGTATGTGTTTCATGTGGATGTGGAAAGTAGAGGGAAAAAAGGCAACTTCTTCCTATTGTGTTATAATTTGGCCCTCATAAACCTTCTAGAAGAAGTGGTCAGCACATAAGAGTTAGAGGCGGCCAGGTGTGAAGATGAGTCAGACTGGACACATGGCAATTACCCAGTGAGAGCTGGAATGGTTTGGGAGATATAAAAGTGGGAGGGTAAACTTCGTAAGTTACCTTCAACGTCACAACTCAAGTAGTTACGCACTTCATTCAAAATGAAGTTGATGTCTTCTTCGGAAGGAATAGGATGGTGTGTGACGTCAGTTGGAGTGTCGGTAGTGCCAGCGATAGTCATCTTTTGCCAGGGTAAGAAGAAAATAACTCGCCCATCACTGGTCGCTGGGTCAAGGAGTCCCATGCTCTCTGGGCTGGGATAAAAAGAAGGGTCATATATTTCTGAAATTAGCCGAAGTTTGCTCTTAATCTGCATTCTAAAAACTATTTTATTCCCTAATTCTCATATAAACAAACAAGAAACACATGAACTGTTACTTTTATTGCCACTACCCTAATCTAGAAATTCCTAAAGGAAAAAATAATTCTGGTAACACAAAAGGAATGGGGCAAGTGTGATAATAATAATAATATTCCACAGCAGAACTCAGGCCCCCCCACTGAGTAATGCAAGGTAAATTAAGTAAGTGGACTTCAATTTCCAGTTGTTTGGGTTTTTATATCCCTTGGACCATTCACATCAGATAATGTCTGTCAGCAGGATAAATGTCTATAATTTCTTTCATGATGGTCAATGAAGGATAGCTCTTCAACCTTTTTTCAAGTCTATGAAAAGTACTTTCCTGGGACATTTGACATCTGGCATGTCTTTCAGTTTAAGGTCTCAGAAGTACATGAGAAAAGTGAAGGGTCTAACTTTCTAGAAACTAAAATGTAATCAAAAAGTTCTCTACTCCGCTGTGCCTGAATAAGTTTGTACCACTTCACCAAATATGAGATTTCTTACTTTATTTCAATTTTACAGAAATCTCAAGAAGCGCATCCATGAGAAAAGGGCTCAGTTTTCTACTACTACCTAAATAACAGTGTACTGGGATATAAGGTCAAAAAGTAGAGTAATATCTTAGCAATGAAAATCTTTAAATAGGCAGAAGATGCTGGTGTACAATGTTGCTCAATCAAGGTTCAGGGACACCTCTTCTGACAGACTATGTAAAACCTTCAAAAATATTAATCAAGAATTTTTCTAATACCTACTTAGTAGTCTAAGACCAAATTGTGAAACACACTTGAAAGAACAGGCAAGTGTCAATAAACGTTAACAAAATCTGTTCAGCTATATTATTAAATCATTAGAAACTCTTGTTTTAATGTATCCATGAACCATTCTAAAATTGTGGCGGTCCTGCTAAAGCAGTAGAAGGAAACTGCAAGTGTCCCTTTCAGACAGCTGAACGCTACTGATCTTCAGAGAGCTGTCTCAATTTGACTGACCTCTCATAAGGAGCCAATGTTAAAGGTATTTTCTGTGAATATATTTTTAGCTTCTATTAATAACATTTCTTGAATAGGAAATATAATTCTATTTGGTTTCAAGAAATCCCTCTTAAACTCACATATTTTAAGGGACATACGGTCAACTATTTATGCTTATCATTCCCTTAAAATTAAAAACAAAAAATGAAACTCAGATTCAGATGTATAAGGATGAGAGTCTAAATACTGTTTAAGAGCAAAACAAAACTGGCTTTTTTATGAAAAAGAAACCTACAGTCAGCTTAACTCATGTATCTTCTTCATTTAAACCATAAAGAGTACTAATATTTCTTTGCAAAGACCCATCAGCCCCATGAAATGCCTGCCATGTCCACGCAGCCTTGCAGAAAGAGATCACTATCTGTAGCCTACATGAGACACAGGAGAGAGTAGGCCTCAGTTATTCTATTTAGCACATGTAAAAAGCACCACAGAAGTGTGTCAATCATTTAAACCTTCAGCTAAGATCTCATCTTCACTCAGGGTTACTTACAGGAAATAATTTTACTTTTTAAAAATACATTGAAAACTACAAATATCGAGTATTTTCAGTCTCTGTATGCCTATATTTTTTTTCTTTGTATTTGCCATAAAACTCTCTAAAGATCTTAAAAGAAACTAGTTAAAATATGTTTTGTAAGCACCGAATTTGATCCTGGGTTGATATGCCCTTAGATTAAATAAGTCACTTTGTGATTAGAAATTAACTCATGAGTTCAAACTTTTAATTTGGTAAATAGTGCTATATTGAAACAAAAGGATAAATTCCATATTCTAATATTTAAGGAACAAATTCCATGTTGGTATATTTTATATATCATCATTTTATGGACCGGATATCATATTATGTGTCTAACTCAATGAACTTGATCAACATCAGCATAAAATTATAATATTCAGCAACTGAGACATGAAATGCTGTTAGAAAAGCACAACTACTGAATCCTTCAAAATCTTTCAGTGCAAAAAAAAGCAGTTTAAAGGGTGAATGTGATGGTTACCAACACACACATAACTGGAACCTGTAAAGAATCAACTGCTTAAGTGAAGACATATGTGTCAAACATAAAATCAACAAGCACAGAGGGAAGCCAAAGCTATTAATGAATGGTATAAAAATTTAAGAATCCACTTGGAAATACCTCTCATCGGTTCTAAATTACCTAATTCATAACTCACCCTTAGGGAAAAGTTTGTTTTCTTACAAATGATTAATTCTGCAAGGTGGCACAAAAGTTTGAAAATGGCTATCAGCTATAGTGATGGTATATACAATGCAGTGAGGCATAGGTCTTTTCTCAGTATGTATAATTCACTTGACATCAGCAGGAAAAGCTGGCTGCTAATTTACGTGTGTGTCTAGGATTAGATCTAATGAACATTTTTCTCATGCAGACCATTGCCTTCCTGAAGTACCCTTACTTAAACTGAAATCAATTTATTGTTAACTATTTAGCAATCAGTGTTGGAGCTAGCAGTATGCACACACGTTATAGAAAAAAAATTGACCTTTCGTCAGCAATAAAAAGCATCTGTAGGCTAAAAGGAGGAGATGATTATTTTCATGTATTTCAGTCATTTGGTGTATTGCTGCTGCTTTTGTAAGAGCATCTACCCACAACTCTGATGAAAATTCCAGATTTGCTCTTAATGCCTTCTTAATGTGCTTAGTGCCTTCAAAAGTAAATGATTTCTGTGTGTTGTTTTATGAAATTAAAACAATCCAGAATGAGAGAAAGAGAGAGAGAGAGAAAGCTGCTACCATGGCACAAGATAATTCCACATGTGGAATGTCAGGGTCATAACAAGCTTAATAAATTCCATAAAGATACCCTGAAAATAGCCCAGCAGGATACACTGCATACCTGGTCCTCACTCTCCGTTTAGCCACCTAAAGTCAATAAATCAGTGGCTCCTGAACTCATTGCATTGCCAGACTGATCAGGTTCTACTTGAAATGCTAGGCCTTAAGTTATTATCAGCTGGTTTATAGGGCAGCACGAGAAGGTCTGACTCATCTCTGAGGACCTAGTAGAACCCTTGAGTTATAATTGTTGAATGAGATTGAGAAATCCAGAGAACCATTTCAGGCTGAGATCTCCTGACCCCAACCCACCCAAGAGAATGACTTGATATGGAAAGTAAAACATCCCTCTGGGATGCCAGCGATACAGCTGCTCAAGGTCAGTGCTGAAAGAGGGACCAAACGCTTAACCCAGGCTGTAATCTCAAACCAAGGGACTCATCTGAAACAGAGCCTGAACAGGAACTGGGCTGCCAGACCACTCCTCTAAGGTTTCCCACAGGATGTGTAGTGGTTGTAGTTCAAGGTGCTAAAGATGGAGATATTAATTTCTCCCAAAGTAGAATGAGATCACTTACTGCATCTTAGACTGAAATAGACCCAGCTGTGACTAACACTTGCATGACTTATGGGCAGGGGCCCGAAGCTAATGCCTAATTTTTAGGATTAAGAAAGGTATTCTGTTTTGAAAATACTATTATACATGCAGGTGATATATATTTATATTTCTTAAAAACCACCTATCTGCTCTGTTATTAGCATATTATAAAGCATAGTACAGGACATATGTGTAGCACGACTTCCTTCATGAAAAAAACTTAAAAGGATATACATTTGTGCAAATATAAACACAAAATTTTATGGAAGGAATCGGAAGTGTGATCAAAAACTGAAGTTGGGGGCATGAAGAGAAGAGGGAGGCTTTCACTTTTCATTTTATGTCTTTCTATTTTTCTATAGTGATTATTTTTGTTTATTTTTGTCTACAGGGGTTATCTTGGCAGTAAAATGAAGAATCACATTTTGTTTTTATATTTTAATCTCTATATATTTAAAATTCCCTTATAAGTATTATATTAAAATTTTAATTAAAAAAGCAACAATCTCAATTTGGGCAAGTTATCACAAAAAAGTTAGCAGGATTCATTCAAAAAATATTTACTGGTCATTATTATGCACCAGATAATATACCAGGAGCTGGGGATATAGAAGTCAAGAAAACAGATAAAAAGTAAATAAAGAATCATTGTCAAAATGTATACATATAGGTACTATCGTGAGATAAGGAGCCAGACGCTGAAATGAGCAGCTTCCCAAAGTCACAGAGTTAGCAAAAGGTAAAGTGATGAACAAACCAGGAAGTTCTTTACCAAGGTATCACCTGAAGTTACTCTTCATACTGTCTTTGTCTATGTACTGGAAACAGCAGAATGCCTTCCCATTTTAATGATAGGCAAACTAAGGTTTGCAGAATAAAATGGCTTGTCCCAAACAACGTCATTATTAAGTGGCAGAAATAACACAGGGAATAATACAGAATACTAGTAAGTGTCCTCTGACATCATGCGACAATAGTGAAGAAGATACGAAACAGAATGTACGGGAAAATATGTTGCATCTAGTAAGACCTAAACAAATATAAGGATTATGGTGATGTGTGTGTCTATAGTTTAGGTATTACATCTGTACTCTATGAAATGTTAAAAAAAACAACTCCAAAAAACTTACAAACTAGCTGGCCTTGCATATTTTTACCCAACACAAAATAAATGTATATAATTGGGTCTGGAACTATTTTTGAAAGCTTCTCTATATACAAGAAACATTTGCAACATGTACATATATTTACTTCTCTCCTTTTCATTTGAACTAAACTTCTGTTAGCAGTTTTTAAAACTCTATTAAGCACCACTGCATAAGTTTTTATTATTGAGACTGGAAGCACCTTGGTTTCTCCAGTCCTAAGTGAAAATACTAATGACTGTCAACCAATTACACGTAGACATTTAGAAAATGACAAAGAAACCTTGGAAGCTGGTGGATAAGAAATTTCATTAATATTCCTCTTGGTAGAAGTGTAATATCTTTCTCATTAGAAGTGTGTTTGGTACAATTAGGTATATCTTGGACTCTCTTCAAGAAGACTTAGTTACTGGAGAACTGATAATAAGGCAGTATCATCGATTACATAGCAGGATAGCATTCTAGAAGAATGCAGATATTAAATGAAATATCATGGATCTGTACATCTGTTTTATCAAACATGAAAAATGTATATATCTTTTATGGAAAGTTATTAAAATATGGAAGAGATAGCTCTCATCCTAAACACATTACCTAGAAATTACCTTTTTGCCCATAATTAAATCACCTAGAGATAATCACCACTGGTATTTAACATATTTCTTTTAATCTCTTTTCTATGTACTTATATAATGCTTAGATCGTGTTACACATACAATCTTGTATCCTCCATTCTAAACTAACATTGTATCACTAGTGTTTTCTTAGGACACGAATGTTATTTATAATTATAATTTTTAATGAACATATAATACTCCCTTGTGCAGGTACACCATAATTTACTTATCCATTCTCCTAAGGTTAGAAACTGAAGTGGTTTGTAATATTTCTCAACTACAAATAATGTCTTAATGAATACCTTGAGCATAAATCATTACTTCACAGAATTATGTACTAGTTTGCTTATTAGATTTACCACATGTGGAAATAAAAATGTTCCATACTCAGCATAGACACGCGAATTTTTCCCCAGATGTCTTGAAATGTACATGAGGGGTAATAATTATCAATTTCTTAGTTAGGATCACATAAATGTTTCTTTTCTAATTTATTAAAAATAAAAAAATATTAAAAATTCAAACACACACAAAAATCTCATTTTCATGTGCCCATCACCTAACTTTTAAATGATTTTCAATTAATAGCTGTTCTTATTTCACCTCTATCTTTATCTATTTCTCTACCTGTGATTATCTTTGTTAATTTGATAAATCAGAAATAATAACCGATTTTTACTTGCTATAGTATTTTTCAAAACACATTTCAAAAGTTATAAACAAGAATACTTGAATGGTCCTCATTTTCAGATTCTTCATAAGCAAATCTGGGTATTTTATAAAATTAACTTTTTAGTGTCTTAATGAAAATGTCCTTTATGGACATTTTTGCAAAATTATTTTTAGGGTTTTAATGAAAATTTAAATTCAAAAATAGTAAGGCTTAGCCTTTGACGATCAGTATACTGAAAACAGTACAAAAATAGATACCAAATCACTAACTCATAGAAAGGAGTATTGCCATAAGAGCTAAGAAATACACAAGCCTGGTTTGTATTTTGTGCCTTGGAAGAGTTTTTTTTTTTTTTTTTTTTACTCATTTTTTCTCATTTTGAACAGTGAGCTAGACCATCTATTAGTAAGAAAGGTGTGCTACAAGAATAAATGTAGACCATTTCTTGCATCCCTCGTTCTCTGACGACGATGGCCAAGTGGGAACACAGGTACCTGTAATAACCAGGCATCACGATGTGGACGCCAGCACTGGGCTGGCAGATAGCTGCGGCATCCTTATCATCCATTTTGCGCACAGTGTCTGTGAAAGGTCCCGTGGCATTGATAACACACTTGGCTCTTACATCAAATTCCTCCCCTGTGAAAGAAAGCAGCGTCAATCACACACCCCGTTTGTTTCTCTGCTCACTGACGCTTTGGATTATTAATTCATCTCTTAACTTAACCTATGGTGGATTATACTGTATGCCACACTAAGTGACACGGGCAACCAGAGTCATTGAGAAGCCACACAAAAGGTTCGCATGTGAGTAAATTTATTGAAACCAAGGCCAAACCGCAGGAAGAAAAACATGTCACTTTTTCATTTCAGCTCTCATTCTAGTTTGCAAAATGCCCGGCATTAAAGTGCCAAATAGGAAGAAAGTGAGTAAATTAGCCGCTTTCTCCTTAAAACTCAAATGTGTGAGCAGTGTTGCTGTGAGATGATATATTTCACAGTGCTGGTTTTGAAGGAAATGATGTAATTTTGAAACTTCGCCCACACGGCCGTAGAACTGGACGGGCATGAAAATCTCACCAAAGTTAAAGTGATTGACTTTAACGACAGGTAAACGCACTGCTTATGTCACCTAAATGATACTTTGAAACTTGGCACATGAGTGAATTTTCTTAATAACATGTTTTTGTAAAGAAAACAGAATGCATTCATAGCTGTGGGAATTTTGTGGGCATTTATTATGATCATGATCATCATTATTGTTTAACACAAAGAAGAAAAATTGCCAGGTCCTACAAGGGAAAATTTTCACGTGAAACCAGTCATTGTTGACAATAAGGAATATAATTAATAGGACTCTGAAATCTCGCTTCAATAAAAGAGAAGTGACAGAAAAATTATCGTTCAGTCTTTATATAGACAAGGCACGATGCTAAGAAATCCCTCCCTGCCTGAGCCTTCGCATACCTGTGAGCACATCCTTGCACCGCGCACCGCTCACGCGCTCTTTCCCTGTCTCGGGGTCTGTCTTCTTGAGCAAGCTCATGACCTCCATGTAATTGGCCGTGGCAGCCCCATACCTGGCAGCAGTGAGAGCAATGGCAAGGTTCATCCGTGCGTCGTTGTGTTGTCCTGCAGCAAGGGAAAGCATCAGAGGAGGGACAGGAGTCACCTCGAGCCACAGACTGGTGGTACAGAAGTGTGTCACAACAGATATGTCACATCTGTCCCTGTCTCCCAGAATATACATGATGGCTGGTCAGCTCTATAGGGCATTATTTGAAAATACATGGGTGTTCTCGGTCAGGCATTTACCTGCCATTTCTGCAAGTGCACTCTGTGTACCACAAAAGGACGAAAAATCTCCCTTTCCTACAGAGCTCACATCAATTATTTGAAAGTTAAGAAATAAGTAATTATTCTCTCAGTTTGGGAACATATGTGTATGTCAGACTTTTCCTAATACAGACAACCTGTATGCAAGAAAGTGAAGCAATTCAAAACTTCAGAATATCTGACACCCCAACTGGTGCTGATGAGCCATTTTTATGAATATGTGCTCTATCTAATATTCAAAATCAAGAGCTTAATCTTTCATAGAGAATCTCTCGGTATTCTATAGAAGGATTTTTCTTGGTTTGAATTTTGATCAGAGCCCCTTAAAATGTAACACTTTTTTTAATTGTACATAAAAGGTAAGAAATTAAGCAGGGCAAAATTTAATTACAGAACAATTCCTACCTGTATTGTTAAAGATTTATTGCTGAAAAATCCTAGTTAAAGAAAACTAAGGGGGAGGCGAAGGGGGGAAAGATGATTAATCACTTTAAAATACTGGCATCACTAGAGACTTTTTCTATTTATTATTGCCAGTGGAGTTAACGCTGACCAGGAAGAATTACTCTACAGCACAGGGGCCAGGTTCTCTGTGCCCTGAATAATTAATTACCCAGGGCTAGATGTATTGAAGCAGCGTTCAAATTCCCACACGTTGGGATCAGTTCTATCAAGATAATACTGATAAAGGGATGAATTTATAATGGATATTGTTGTTGATTTATGTTGCCAGCATACCAAACATTTAGTACAAATGTTTTATGTAAAGTTTCTTCCTTGTGATTCAGTCTGCACAGGGCCAGAAGCACTACACAGGTAATCGGTTCCAGCTAAAGGGCACAGTTACAAAGAGAGAATCAATGACAGGATTCTGCCACCCCTCCCCGCAAACATCTTATTCTAGAACTGCTAAACTAACGCAATCAGCCAAGGACTTTTCCCTCAAAATTAAAGCCTCTATCAAGTGGAGAACGTACGTTAAAACTCAACATGCAAAATAAGGAGTTATTTTATCCAAAAATTAATAGAATGAAAGTAGAAGAAAACAACAGCAGCAGCAGCTGAACTATAAGTGGGAAGAAAGAAGGGTAGCATTTCTATCAATTTCAACTCAGCACAACCCTAAAGATGATAATGGTCAGTAGGTACATTTAAAGTTAAGTTTAAGAAACTCACTTTTATTCACGTACGGCTCATTTAATATTGGAATATGCTTCACAGTCCAAAGAAACAAAATAAAAACTCCATTATAGATCTTCTCTTTAAACTAAAGAGATTACACATCTAAACTGAAGGAAGTACTCATCTCACCCGATCTTCCTAGTGAATTTATGTACGTAATAATGAAACACCCTACGGGTAGTACAAGAAATCCAAGTCATGTTCCTATGGTAGGGGAACTCTCACCCATCCAAGTGTGCCTTGATTTACACACAGGACGGTTCTCTGGAAAGTTATGTGAAAATCAACTATTTTAAATCTTATATGATGTCACTGTTCAAAGGAACCAGGCAGAAAGCCCACTTATTAAATGACAGATCCCTTTGTAAAGTGGTATTATCTATTCACATGATCATCTGGTAATGAAACTCTAACTTTTGAAAATACAAAATCTTTCTTTTAATACCTTTCTAAATTATAAAATCTCATTGGAGCAGTATTGGTCTAGTTCATCAAGCTCTACTGTTTCTGTACTAAGATATACCTCCCTAATTAGCTTCCAAATCCCAATACTTCTGAAGGTAAACAAGATAAACCTCAGTTAAAAGTGTGAGGTGGGGGCTTCCCTGGTGGCGCAGTGGTTGGGAGTCCGCCTGCCAATGCAGGGGACACGGGTTCGAGCCCTGGTCCGGGAGGATCCCGCGTGCCGCGGAGCAGCTCAGCCCGTGAGCCACGGCTGCTGAGACTGTGCTCTAGAGCCTGCGAGCCACAACTACTGAGGCCTGTGTGCCTGGGGCCTGTGCTCCGCAACGGGAGAGGCCACCGCGGTGAGAAGCCTGCGCACCGCAACAAAGAGTGGCCCCCACTCGCTGCAACTAGACAAAGTCCCACGCGTAGCAATGAACACCCAAAGCAGCCAAAAATAAATAAATAAAAATTAAAAAAAAAAAAAAAAAAAAAAAGTGTGAGGTGGAAACAACTTCCTTTGGTCCTTATTTTGCATGCCCATCCTGATACCTAGCAGCATGTGCCTTGACTCGAATCAAAAATGTTACTTATTTGTGAAGGTCCTCACCTGCCAAAATTCTTCTACTGCCTTTATTCTACCATACGGGGTTGTTAAATTATTTACAACTCCCTGAACGTCCATGTCACTTCACACCTTCTTGCCTTTGTCCACACTAATTCTTTTGGCTGGAAAACCATTCTGGAAGCTCCGGACAAGCCCTATTCCTCTCTCGTGAGCTGATTCAATATCTCCCATGAAGACTCTCCTTATCTGTGCTGCATCCCTCCAAGGCCAAGTTGTTCATTCCAGCTTCTGCACCAACACTGGAACTTGTACATACTATTTTTATAGTCTTTATGATACTAGTCATCCCTGTACCCATCGACTTAAAAAAAATAATAAGCTTTGGTTATGAGTCAGGTACTGTAACAAATGCAAGGAACCCAGTGGTGAGAAAGATACAGGGAGATCTCGGTTCTCCTGGAAGTAGTATCCCACTGTAATTACTATATATGTGATTTCCATGTCTCCTCAGCCTGGTCATGGGAAGGCAGGGTCTTACTTGTTCATCTTTTCCTTTCCTCATTAGTACCAGGCACAGAGCAGGTACCCAGTAAGTGTTAAGTTTAGCCAAATTCCATTCGATGTGTTAAATAAACAGGTTTATTTATAGTCTTCTAGATTTATAGAAATATTACATAATTATATAAAATTTTATAGTCCTTATAGATTTATAGTATTATCTCTAACTATAGAATGGAATGCTTTGTCTCAAAAACAAATTTCAGACATCAGTAAGTTGGTGGCAATAAATTTGAAGGGAGCAGGGAAACCCCAGAAATGTGTAAAATCTTAACTTAAACCCAAACTAGCCCTTATATATAAGTTGAATAAGTGGGACAGAAATAGAAATGGATATGAATGATTCCCTCAAGACTTAACCCTCAAGTTGCCCTTTGCTCTGAAGGGGAATACAAACACAGTTATTATAAGCTCCTAAAAATTGAGGAGTTAAGTAATTTGACTTCCCTCTTGGCCCAGGAGTTCACACCTCTACCCAGAAGTCCCCTCTTTGCAGACATTCAGCTTAATTCATTTACCTGCTTGGATTCAGGGCAGACCTCCCCCTCCCCGACCCACATTAAATTCACCCTTTACCCTGAGACACCCAGATGCTCGCAGTGCATGCTTCCTGTGATAAGTGGTGTGTTTTCACTATTCTTAACTAAATCCCCTCCCCCCAACTCCCTTTCCTGACATTTTGAAAGGTGTCTATATGCCTCCTGTAATTTTATTTCTGGAGTAAAAAGGTTTTGACAACACTGCATGTCATTGGAATGCCATACAATAATCTCAACTCCCCCACCCAATTGATCTGCTTATTAAGTTTGGATTTTCAAATGCCTTAGAGCCAGGCAACATGATACTATTCACTGATCAGTGAATAGCTTTACGTTGGCACTTACGCAAGGACCCAGACGGGGACTGTGAAAATCTGTTTCCTACTCTGTTCTCCTTTTGCACTTGAAATCTTACATATGTGCACGTACTGAACTTACAACTCAGACGAGAGGAAGCACATAGGAGGTGGAACTATAACTGTTTTCCCTTGTTTAGAAAAACAAAATATAAAATCTACCCACCAAAGAGACGAAGGTCAGTAGTGGCAGAGAAGGGTTTTGCCGTAGTCCGCAATGGCCTTGCACCCAGGATGGTGAGAGATATTTTAAGGGAAAAACATTTTAAGATGTAATTTTCTATAAGATAGGCCTCAAATATAAATATTTTGGGGACAGAGCAATATAGTTCTCCTCAGAGGGTTTCAAAGTTTGGCAAAAGTTAACATGCAAAATAGCTGAAAAAAAGAGAAACAATCATTGAATGTATAAAAGGTATGAAGAATGAGTAAATATGAAAAAACCCTATGTAACAAATTAGCTGGCATTTTCCTGGTCCTTCAGATCTAAAATTCCATGATGCTCTGAAATCCTACATACAATCTTCTTTTAATACAGCCTACTGTTAAATGACCATTTACATAGATAGCCACAGACCAATCTATGGACCCAGAAACCATATAGAAAGTTTAATTGTTAGCAAAAAGTTAGTTCTTAATTAAAATAACACCATCCATAACTTTATCATCAATAAAAAGCTGCCACTGTGGAAATGCTGAGAGTACTTCCTTCTACCTCCCTGACCTGGGTCTTATGCAATCATGTGGTTACTTCTAGCAGAGGGAAAAAGGATGCTAGTGTGAAAGAATACCTCCCTAAAGCTTTAATCCCATTTCTCACAAAATTCACAGGGCGTGCTTTATTGTCTCTGACTGACACTGAGTGACACAATGACCTCTCTGAAGCTTCTTAACAGTCTGGCAAAGGTAATTCAAAGGCTAACACACCAAACCCAAGCTGATTTAATATAACCATTATATTTAAAATTTTCCTTTCTCATGGGAAGAGTGCAGGTAGAGGCAGAGCAAAATAGGGGTGTGAGTGTGTGTGTGTGTGTGTGTGTGTGCATGTGTCTTTGGGTAAGGGGATTACTAAATTCTGGTTTAAGTACATACGATGAGTAAGCTTGAAAAGGAAAAGTCAAATGAGAACATACTTTTCACGTAAAT